ATCATCAAGGACACTGTAGGGAAGGGCTGGGGAGCATCAAGAACATCACAGGGAGGACAGGGGAGCTCTGAGGACACTACAGAGAGACTGGGAAAGGAGAAGTACCTGAAAAGCTCCAGTTGACAGTGAAGCCAAAGGTGGGCTGGTCCTTCTGGTTCCTGCGATGCTGGGACCCCTGCAGAGGTGACAGCTGGATCTTGTTCGTGGTGGCAGTTACGGCCGTGTGGTAGGTGCCAGCAAACTCATCTTTTTCATTCAAAGCCCCGATGGTCATGTTGGAGCCCAGGTCGTTGACCCAGCGCCCAGTCAGCACACACTGGAGTGGAGGGGACTCAGAGTTGGTGCTGCAGCACAGCCCAGGTGCAGGCAGGGCGGCAGGAGTGGGCACCCCCAGGAGCTGCAGCCCCCCTGCCCACCCTAGCCCATGTGTCCCAGTCCTGCTTTTACCTTTCTTTCTGAGAGGCCAGGGGCCACCAGGGCCAGGCTGAGCACCAGAAGGAAGGGAGTCGCGTGCATCATCCCAGCCGGCGTACCCGGGATGTGGTCCTGGCAGGGATCTGCTGATGTGCCTGCTCTCTCGTCTTTTTATTGCTGCCCAGACTGGGTGGCAGCTCCGGCCAGGGCGTTGCACAATCTGGGTGTTTCCAAATTTGCAGTTCCTAGCTGTATAGGAGGGTGGTTGCATGCAGATATTCCCAGAAGTGCCTCCTGGAACTGCCCCTCCTTGTTCCTGCTTCTCTGGCAGCTCGTGGTAACGCCCTGACTACAAGGAGGGATGCTTATCCAGGGAAAACCCCTCTCAGGGACTGTTGTCCCTTCTGCCACCTGTTTACCACCTCACTGCCATGCCCCAGGATGCACAGGGGTGCCAAGCAGCCCGAACCCCAATGCACCTCAGGATCAACCGCAGCACATGGCCTCAGCCTGCACCTCTCCCAGCAGTGCCCTCCTTGCAGGGCTTTGCTTCATCCCCTCTGGGTACGAAAGCAGCCGCAGATCAGGCTACAAAACAGCTGGTCTCCTCTTGTCCTGGGGCTGGCGTGAAGGTTTGCTGCTGTTTTCATAAGCTAGCTTTTGTTGGAAGGAAATTATTTTGTTTATGAAAAACAAACATTCTCCAAATATGTCAGACATCACGTTTTAATGCTGATAAAAATTGTATTTATGTAGAGATTCTTAAATAACTTGAAGTACATATTTATATCATGGAATGATTTGGGTTGGAAGAGACCTTAAAGA